CAATGAATTAGGTCCTAAGTAAAATTGATCGATTCTCATCATCGACTTTCTCTTTCGTTAATAACTTGGGTACAGAACCGTTTCTTGTCGTGTTTGTCGTATTAGAAGTTAGATAATAGCTTCTTTCATCGATCTGTGTACTGAAAACTGTGAGGATGCAAATAGAAATTCAATAAATAGAATCTGTCAACGTTATTTAGGACCTAATGCATTATTCAGCTTGAAACATTCAGAAGCCACACTATACTTTATGTTCTTAGCTATCGTGAAGTTTCGTCATCTCATAAAAATGAACTGCACTTTTTCATAACACATTATTGATTTTAAGCTCAACTAATCAAAAGACCACGGTTTTGATAAATTTATGAGAGTTATGGGACAGGATTCAACTGAAGAAGAGCAAAACAAATTGCTGCTGGTGAACATTTTAAAGCAGTTTTCCATTGGTGCAATCAATTGACTCTGCATTATCCAGCTAATTACTAATGAAAAATGGTAAATAATAAGCCAGAAACTTACTGAAACGACTTCCCATCGATCTAGAATTGCTAGATGCTTCTAGAAGTCAAAACAATTTTAAAAGATTAGCAAACAATATACAACTGAGTGGTGCGAAAAAATCCAACAGCCTGTAAAAAAAAAATCATCGATCGGGACAAGCAGAAGGCTTACGTTTCTTAAACGATGTCATCCGAAATATGAAGCATTGTGATCAATGATCAAAATAGTGTACTTAAGTTCAATTGAGAAATAATAATACAAGTGCATTTCAGGCTAACAGATTGTATTCTTATCAATAAAATAATACAGTTACAATATTGTAACAAACATAAATGGTAGTAAGCATCCTCAACAAATAAAGCAAATAAACGGGTCTGAGGGAACCCCAATCTAGCATACCCGAGCAGGAGAAAATCACTAATGAATACCTAATACTGTTCTGATACCAAAATTTGGTGTTGATCTGCATGACTTAAGAGGTAAAATACCAAAGAATAATATTTAAAAATTGCAAGCAAAATACTTTGAAAATAAAATAAATTTATATTTGGATACCAAAATAATACCTGTGTGGTATTCTTTTGGTATTGCATTTACAAAATTTGGCATTGGAATTGTATTGTGGGAACTTTTTTTTTTTAATTCTTTTTTATTATTTTACCTCTTATGTCAGGCTCATCCATACCAATTTAAAATATCGAGATATTCGTTCCTGCTCGGGTATTTGAATTTTTTAACTTGTTTTTGAACAGTCTCGTACTAAATAGCCATATTAAGACTGGTTCCACTTGTTACAAAATAGTACCTCAATCATGCAAATGTAAACAAACAATGCGCAAGTCACGAACAAGTTTTAATTTTTGACCTGGAAAAAAGCACCAACTTGTGAGAGATAGAGAGAAGATGTAAACAATGGCAAGAAAGTTAATATTTTTCAAGAAAAATTACTTGAAAATTTAAAGTGATCGAGTTCGCACCACTCATGCAACAAACAAAAACTGTAAGCAAGGACTGACAAGGAAGGATAACAAATAAAACTGTAAGCAGGACTGATCAATTGAAATCAAATCAAAAGAAATTATGACTTGGGAGCAATATCTAACATTTTATGTGAAAAGGCTTGGGTACGCAAAGATTAAAGAGCTCTGTGTCTTATGGCAAATGAAAAATCTTTTTGAAAGTCATAAATAATGGCAACTGATGATGTTATGCTTTATAAGCCTTCCCTAATATTGTGAAAAGCTCCGACCTAGAGACGATTGTCAAGCATTCCGTGGAATGTTTTATATTGATTTTTGTTTTGATTAAGCTACCATATGACTCAGAAATAGTCAATATATTATTTAATTCAAAATTGCTTAATTTTTATGGGTAATTGCTCGGTATTTACATTTAATTAACCCACAGCTTTATATCTGCATATTAAAAGCCTTGATATTCTTGTATCATAACAGTAAAACAAGGGAAAACCAAAATGTAGACAATTCAGCAGCGAAAACATTGATTTTGTTTGTTCACATGATCATCTTTTCTGCAATATCAGCACTGTATGCTAATTTAATGACTGTGTGCGTGTGGGATGACGAAAACCACAACCTTTTAAACCCGTTTTCTTTATTTTTATCAACATTTTCGTATGCTTCTCGCCGTTTATTGATGTTATGCTTCACTTCTTTCGCGACCACGATCTATTCTTTTGTTTTCTGGTGTGGCCGATGCCGTGCATTTTATGCTTTCCATTTTGGCAGATCGAACCTCTACAGACAGTTTGGAGATTGGTAGGATTGTCTTTTGCGACTTTTTCCTTGGAACTATCTTCGCTTCGCTCTTATATTAATCGTGTGAAACTTGCCCTCCTATGTTCAGCTAAGCAAATCAACGTCAACTCGTTTCGCAACTTTGAGCGATTGATTAAGCTAAGCTTTCAATTTATTCCGTTCTAGTTTTTTTTTTGCCTTTTAGCTTAACTCATGATAATGACCTGTGTACCGTTATGACAAATTTAAATTATCTCAGTTTCCCACTGAAAATTCGAATCAGTGCTCAAAAACAATTTAAAATATTGGTGTATCAAACTTTTCTGCTGCAAATAATGCAGGGTCACTTCAAATAACAACTCGGTCGTTACACTTCAATTTTTATACTGAACAGGATACATTCAATGAAAACATGCCTATAGCAGTTCTTGTTCCTTCAATGTGATGATGAGTTTTATTTGCTCCAATTTGATACGCTAATATAGCAACTAATAGCCCATACACTAGGCATACACTCGGACCAGAAGATGAAAATAGCTTACATTTTCTTCACCGTGAAAGTAGTGCTATTAAGGCAGTCCATTCAGCTTATGCTATTCTTCTACCTGCAGTGTTGAAACGATTGTGTTGAATCGGTGCATTTTGTAATTTAGTACAGTTCACAAGCATAATCGGCTTCGTTCAAATGGGCGTTTAGCGAAAGGAAGGATCAACGGAAAAATTATCATGCCTATTAAAGCATTGAACCTCAGTTCGTAAGTTGTAAGCGAGGGCTTGAGGAACGATTTAAATCAAGGAATATCTCTGATATTTTGATGCTTTGAAGACCTTATTTCAGTTCAAATTGGTATTTGCTTGTTCATTCACCTTGATGATATAAAGAAACGACTCTAAAAGAAATCTTTGCGTAATCCCGCCGTTCTTTCAATGTTTGAATGCTGATCAACATGTAAAGGGTGATACGGTCAAAATTTGGTCAATATCAACTTGACGTATTTCTTTCAATTTTGCATTTAAAAAACCTGAACACCCCTCATTTTGAAGGTGTGTGTGTGTAGAATGTTGCTCCTATTTTGATTTTGGAATTCACTCTTCAGTTGTCAAAATGCCGTCCAAGCAAGAAGAGCAGCGTATCAAAATTTTGCTCGCGCATCGCGAAAATCCGAGCTACTCGCACGCAAAGTTGGCAAAATCGCTAAAAGTTGCCAAATCAACCGTTACAAATGTAATTAAAGTGTTTGGGGAACGTTTGTCGACAGCCAGGAAGTCTGGATCGGGGGGAAATCGAAAACCGGAAGCCGCTGAGACGACAAAGAGAGTTGCCGGTAGTTTCAAGCGAAACCCTAACCTCTCTCTCCGAGATGCCGCAAATAAGCTGGGTGTATCGTCTACAACCGTGCATCGAGCCAAAAAACGAGCCGGACTATCGACTTACAAGAAGGTAGTGACTCCAAATCGCGATGATAAACAAAATACGACGGCCAAAGCGCGATCCCGGAGGCTGTACACGACGATGCTGACGAAGTTTGACTGCGTGGTAATGGACGACGAAACCTACGTCAAAGCCGACTACAAGCAGCTTCCGGGACAGGAGTTTTATACGGCAAAAGGAAGGGGAAAGGTAGCAGATGTTTTCAAGCACATGAAACTGTCAAAGTTCGCAAAGAAATATCTGGTTTGGCAAGCCATCTGTACCTGTGGCTTGAAAAGCAGCATTTTCATAGCTTCCGGGACTGTCAACCAAGAAATTTACGTGAAAGAGTGTTTGAATAAACGTCTGCTGCCTTTCCTGAAGAAACACGGTTGTTCCGTACTGTTTTGGCCGGATTTGGCATCTTGCCATTACGGTAAAAAGGCCATGGAGTGGTACGCCGCCAACAACGTGCAGGTGGTTCCCAAGGACAAGAACCCTCCCAACACGCCAGAGCTCCGCCCAATTGAGAAATACTGGGCTATTGTCAAGCGGAACCTAAAGAAGACCAAAAAAACTGCTAAGGGCGAGCAGCAGTTCAAGGCAAACTGGATTTCTGCGGCGAAGAAGGTGGACAAGGTGGCTGTACAAAATCTGATGGCAGGGGTCAAGCGTAAGGCCCGGCAATTCGGATTTGGAAAAGCGGAAGCCTAACTGAATATTTTTCCTGAATTTTATACTAATTGAACTTGAAAAAGAAATTTAATTTGATTTTCCGATTTACACGCGTTTTCCCTTGACCAAATTTTGACCGTATCACCCTTTAAGTCCAAATTTGTTCGAGAAAAGAATGATTAGGCTATAGTAAAGGTGCATAACAATCCCCCTCATTTATTGCAAAAGCGATATTCTCAATAGAAATTATTGTTATGAACAATAAGTTAGATTGTATTTTGTATCTTGACAATAAACTGTATTGTTGCCACAATGGATTTAATTGCATTGTGCCGATAAGTTCTTATGTTATTTTAAGGTACATTTTTATTCGGACACGGTGTTTTTTGAGTGTATCTATTATTGATTATCTAAATTTTAGCGTGCGCGCTACATCAAAGCTGAGTAAATTAATAACATATTTGGGATTCTGTCCTTAGCGTGTAGCGCGTATCATCGCATAACATTTCGTTCCCTCGTTTTTCTTCACTGCCTCCACCATTTTGTAATAGAACGCCGTGGCGCGCCCGTTCAACGAAATTAATTCTGTCTTCGCAAAGGTGTAGAAAAGTAGTGCTCGGTATAGTAAAAGAACGCCATGGACACCAGTTGCGTGTTGTGCGTTCGAAGTTAATTTTGTTTCAGCGAAAAAAGCGAAATTAGAGCTCTGCATTATTGCCCGGAAATGGCACCAATAACACGGCGCACATCGGTCGAGTTGGAGCGGAAGGAGCGGAGCAGAAAAGCGAAGCTCCTCTTTCTACAAAAACGGGTAAGCTGTGTTTTACAGTAGCGTCGTGTAACCTCACAAGTGCTCCAACTTTCAAAAAAAAATTTTTTGTGTGATGAATTCGATTTGTTCGAAAACGAGAATAGAGGTGAATAATTATTCGTAACTCGGTAAGAAAACACATGGGCTCTTCCAATTTGGCCAAATTTCAAGCAGTATTTTGCAATACTTTTGTTGTTTGAAAGGTTGAGGGGACGAAACCACTTTTTCATTCTGTTCTTATTGTAACCGCCATTTTCTTTTTGTTTTTTTTCTGTGTGCAGGGATTGCTTGTCGGAAAAGCGCCGCTGGTTTCTCGCGGATCCGAACCGAAGCAAAAGTCAGCTCAGGTGGCGGACCCAACGAAAGGAGCCAAAGGCAGCCGGAAACGGAGGTTGCGAAAGGTGAGCGATCTAGAATTGAACCACTTTCAACAAGCAATACGAAACTATCGATTTTAAATTGGCTCATTACTTGACTAGCCTATTGGTCCCAAGCAAACGATTAACGTACCCCATTCTAGTCGAAGTTTTAGTACTACACAATGTTTGTTTTGATTCGCTATGAAAGTTTGACAGATAAAATGAGGGGTTTGTGGATTTTCCTATGTTTCGAGGGGTGAATCGATTAGCTTGGGACCGAAGAGAGTACCAGAGCTGAGCCAAAAAGTTGAGTACGTTTCTTCGGGACCTTCTAGTCTTAGAGTTACCTTTATGCTTTTACCGTGTGTGAGGAACTTGGTCTAACAACTTCTCCACACCCGATCAGACAATTCATCCGACTCGACCCAGTTGTAGGACTTGTCTGACTGTGTGTGTACACCTACCCTAGCTTTAACGGCGGAATGAAAAATCACTCCCGATTTGTAAAACATACATTCTCTTTTCTATACAGGATCCAACCGAAGGACTGATGCACACTCCTGAACCTCGACAATCGAAGTCAGGATCGGTTCCAACACTCAGCCCAGCGAAAGGTCATGAGGGCACCGGGAAGCGAAAGGTGTGTGATCTAAAATTAAACCTTTCATAGATCAAGCGATTCTTGAGGTCCCGAGTAGCACACTTTCGTCACAATCAGTTGCAGCAACTTGTTTGTGGCTGGAATAAGTCGTATAGAAGTTTCTACCACCGATTTGCGACAAGTGTGCTACTAGGGTAGGCCTAATCAACGAGAAATTATTCATATAATATTCCCCCTCAATCTGGTAATGTGAGTTTGCGCAGAAGTGCAGAGAGTTTCGTCGGATCGACATTTTAACGTTTGTTTACAAAAGCTCTTACGTCGAAATGAAAATTCGCTCTAGATTTGTAAAACATGGGGGAAATGGATCTAATGTCGGCCTAAGTGCCCCTAATTTTTGCCCATACATAAATTCAGCAATCGACCTAATTTTTAATAGCGACCAAAAATATCCATTAGTACCGTCCCAATGACACGTTCATCGAGATAAAACTGATAAATAGCAGATTTTTAGCGATGGGCCCAATCTTAGATCCATAGGCCAACATTACAGCCATTTCCCATACTTTTTCTCTTTTTTACAGAAACTGACTAAAGGGATGCGCACTCCTGAATCTCGGCAACCGGAGCTCGATTTCAAAAATCAGCCCCCGGAAGTGGAATGCACTACCGGAATGCACACAAATTTCAGATCTTAATATCTTATTTACGCTACAGATTGTGTTCCGTTTGCTCAAATTTAAGTTTACTTACTTTTGAGTACCGTAAACCGGGGGCAAATTGATCACCCGGGGGCGAAATTCATCAAACTGCTATACGTTTCTTGCTGCCTTATATTACTTTCAGTTATCTATTTTAAGCATAAGCTGAGCTTTGAGCACATTCATAGATCTTAATTGATGAAGTTTCATGCAAGTGATCTATGACTGCAAACACATTCTTTTATACGTTTGCTGTACTGTATGCCAGATAATAACTCCCTTGATCAAACTACGTAGCATAAATCTTGATAGAGCCGGAATAAGGGTGTAACTGCATTTGAAAACAAAGACTTCTCTCGATGATTTCTTGGAATTCAGAACTCGCCCACGCAAACCAACATTGCCTTCGGTGATGCTGGTTTGCGTAGGCGAGTCTTCACTTTCTGGAAATCATCGAAAGAAGTCATTGTGTACAAAAGCAGTTACGCCCTTATTCCGGCTCTATCAAGAAATAGCGTGAAATCGGTTTGTGGTTATCATGAGAGAAAGTCGATCAAGAGAATTAGAAGCAAATTAAGAATGCAAGTAATTTTGATCGATTCCTTAATCGAGTTTCTCTCTTGATAACCACAGCGTTACAAACCGATTTCGCACTATTTTTGCTACATAGTTTGATAAAACAGGTTCTCATTATTTGCTGCTGTGTTACCTTGAATATAAGAGAAACTTTCTACCAATCAGGAATCAGGAACTATGGAATATGCCGATGTAAAAATCAAGACTTCTTTTTTAAGGTTCAAACAACCGTCATTGATTTTTCAATCATCATTATAAAATCAAAAGCAGTTTTTTCGTTAAAAAAAACTACCTCGAATGAATGGAAGTTCTTGAAAACGATCCCTTTTGAGAACGTTAAGCCCCTCGTTAAATCCTTGGAATATGGATTTCGCTACAAAACTCCAAATAGGGGATCCAAAGGAGTAACGTGCTTTTACAACTGCCGTCGAATAAAGGTGCATGCCAAGGTCCAGTGCAATCGGAAGGTCATGGTGTTCATTCCTAATGCCGAGAAGGATGAGTGCAGCGTGAGCATTAAAGGACAGCACATCTGCAACGATATGGACTCGAAGTCGATGGCGAAAATGCCCTTAAAACAGGAGGATTACAACACTATCAACCCTATGCTTCATGCTGGGTAGAAATTTTCGCAAATTACTCTAACAGTGCAGTTTTGTTCTTAAGTCTATTAGGTAATTCACAGTATAGCTTCAGTAATGTTACTGTCAAACCCATTAACACGTATAACAAGTAGATGAAAATTAGTTACCAGAAGTGTCAACCTTTATTTTCGGAAAAAAATTCCCAAAAATTTCTGAAATCCGGAGAAGGCCAATAAATAAAATATGTATTTTCTCTATGTTTGTGATGATTTCGCATTCATATTTTTTTTATTTGGAATTCACATTTTTTTTTTTTTTTATTTGGCTGAAAATTTTCAGAAACGTTTCTCATGACCAACAATGCCATTTTGCATCTTCAGATCCCAATTTTAAATCGAGCCTTAATTTTTGAAAGAACTTATTGAAAAATGTTAAGCTTGTCTTAAGAAAACTGTTCAATCAATTTCTGAATATTATTTTCCGTGAGATTTCGACATTTTTTCGATTCTACACATTGTAGTTTCATTTTTATACCTGTGATTTTTTTTCATAGGGGATGAGTACTAAAGAGGGATAGAAGGAGTTAGTCTTTAGTAGGAATGGCACTGATCAAGACTGCTCATTGTTCGAAGTACATATCTGTCATTGATTTTCCGCTAACAACCCAATTCATAGTTTGTGATACAAGTGTATCCGCGGAATTAGACTGATGCAAAATTTGAAACAGTTATAAATGGTAGCCCTAAGTATGCACCTTTAGAATTGATAAAACGATCCATAAAATATTGATAAACGTTCTTTAAAAAACAACCAAATGATCCATAAAACACCGCAGGAAATCTCTTAAAAAGTGTGAATGATCCTAAAAAAATATCCATATGATACATATTGTATTTAAAATTTAGCAACACAATTGTATAAATGTATAGCTATTTTTTTAAAGAATGAGCATTGAAATTGCATGTATTACCCATAAACATATTGAAAATGATCCATGAAATATTCAGCAATGAACCTTAAACTTATGAAAATCATCCATAGAAAATCAAGCTTGCGCACTTAAAAATATAGGCACGATCCATAAATTAGAAATATAGTGTTCATGTTTTGGACACTATTTTCTTTTTTTAATTTGATTCATTAACCTTGGAAAATTGCCCCATTACTGCTCAGCTACTCTGGTTTACTGTTCTTCCCGTGTTTTTTTTTTGTCAGAAGAGCGGAGCGATGGGCAAGCATCTAGAATAAGCATCTAAAAGAAGCTTCTAAAAAATATTCCCTATGATGCTTCTTAAGGGGAAGCTCACCGCTCCGAAAAAAATAATTACGTTTTGATTTTTCTAAAAATATTGGAAAAAGATATAAAAATTCTAAGAAAATCACATATTTTTTTATTTTTCAAAGAAAATTCACGTGCAAAAACATTTTTTATAAGTCATTATGGCATAAAGTTGGACTCAAAAAACCACAAAACATCGACTTTTCGGTTTTGCTGAGAGTCCAATTTTTTTTCATGATGAGATAGAACAAAAATTTTTACATGTAATTTTTGACAAAAATCTAAGGAACAAACTGATTTGCTTTGATTTTTGATATTTTTTCCCAATATTTTTAAAGAAATAAAAATTTACCGAAAATATTTTTTTATTTTCGGTCCGGTAAGCTTCCCCTTAACACTCCTAATACGATGCAACCGGTAAAATGTGTAACGGAAAATTGGTGTACTCATTTCTCAGTAATTTATCAATAGATTTTAAACCTATTCATACCGAATAAATCTTTAAAATCTTTAGTTTCATAGGGCTTTAGCGCGCCATAGATTTGAAATTCGTCAATAAATAGCTGAGCTATGATTTTTCAAACATTTCAAGTTTGCGATTATACATTTGACCAGAGACATCGTGTTCAGAGTGCTAAGAAGATTATTATAGAAGCTTTTTTTGGAAGCTAATTCTAGACGCTTATCCGTCGCTTCGCACTTCTAACTAAAAAAAAAGTTGGAAGGGTTGTATACTAGATACGACCGCAGGGTTGGCGTTGGATAACGTCTGTTATGTGTTGTACTTAATTGTGTATATTATATTTTAGGAATATACCTTAATAACTCTTTTGCGAAAGTTTGGTGGCCCTGAAAAGGGCCGTTTTGTTGGGCTGATGTTGTTGACAATGATGGAACGGGCGACCTTGTTGGACGCTTATATAGTAGAACAGAAAATATCAGAGGTGTCAGATACTCGCATACGTACGTTAAACTCTTTCTTGATAATGTTGTGGCCCTGAAAAGGGCCATTTTTCCAACGCGCTCGGCGTAGTTGCCCTTGCGGAGCAGACGGTGAATACGACCTACTGAGAACTGCAGCAGCTGGGCATTCCATGACGGCGGCTCAGTATACCGGAGCACTGGCACCAACGCACTCGGCGTAGTTGCCCTTTCGCCCCCAGGCTCTGCTGCCGCTGCTCTGCTGCCGCTGCTCTGCTTCCGCTGCTCTGGTACTGCTGCTCTGCTGCTGGGTCGACGATCGGATAGACAATGATGGAACGGGCGACTTTGACTTAAATGATCTATATTTCTTGAATTTGTGTGGTTTACATGTATAACTTATCAAGTGACACAGATGCGTCTTTTCAACTTTAGTTCCTGTGAAATTTCAATTATTATTAATTACAGTTCCTAGTCCTATCAGGCCTGTTTTAGAGAATGACCACCTTGGTGGGATTGGTTTGTTTGAAAATTTGAAAAAGGAGACTACTTATAACTACTATTTACAACTACAACTAACCTACAACTACTATGTACACCTAACCAACTATATACAAATTGCTTATCAAAGCATGTTCTGATAAATTACATTTTTGTGCAAATTTAGTCTTAATTTCGTTAATTTTGGAATCTATTTTGGCAATGCCTGCCTCTTCATGTAAATTTGTTATTCTAGTGTCGAAAGGACGATCAAGAACCATCCTCAGCACTCTATTCTGAGCGACCTGAATTTTGTTCCTGTGAGTCTGTGCACATGATTCCCACACCGGAGCTGCGTAGAGGATCGCAGGTGCTATGATTTGTTTGTAGACGGCCAGTTTGTTCACCCTTGAGAGGCGGGATCTGCGGCAAATCAGCGGAAACAGACACCTAACCAAGGTAGAACACTTGACTACAGTTTTCTCTACATGCGAACGGAAGAGGAGTTTTTCATCGAACAACATCCCGAGATAGGTCACTTCGGTAGACCACTCAACCCTTGTGCCATCCATGATTACAGTACAAGATGGAGCCGGTTTCAGTTTGGGCGATTGCCGATGGAGGAACATGATCGCTTGTGTTTTGGTGGCATTGATTTTGATTTTCCACGTGGTGGCATAATCAGCAAAGGCGTTAAGGCATCGTTGAAGTTTGTTCGTTATTTCGCGAGGCATCCTTCCTTTGACGGCTATTGCGGTATCATCTGCGAACAGGAAAAACACGCAACCGTCACCGAGGGGAGGAATGTCGGAAGTGTAAATGCTGTAAAGCAAGGGGCCCAGCAGACTACCTTGCGGGACTCCTGCTGGGATCGAAAACGTGTCTGAGAGACAACCATTCAACGATACCTTAAACGACCTTTGCTGGAGGTAGTTACGGGTGATTTTAATAAGATGTAAAGGAAAGTTGAAGTTACAAAGCTTGTACACAAGTCCGTCATGCCAAACATTGTCAAACGCCTTTTCAACGTCTAACAAGGCCATGGCTGTGGACTTGGATACAGCTTTGTTACTTCGGATGTTATTCATCACCCGTACTAGCTGATGATTGGTGGAGTGCCCCTTTCTGAATCCAAACTGTTCCGGAAGGAGAATGTTATTTTCCTCGACAAACTTGAGCAAACGATTGAGAATGAGTTTTTCGAACAATTTGCTCAGTGCTGAAAGGAGGCTGATTGGTCTGTAGCTTGAAGGCAATGTTGGATCCTTACCGGGCTTGCGGATTGGTATGATTTTTGCTACTTTCCAGATGCTTGGAAAGTAGTGCAGTTCCAAGCATCTGTTGAAGATAGCGGTTAGAAGAGACTGCACTTTCATGCTGAGTCTCTTCAAGATCAAGTTGAATATACCGTCAAACCCGGGAGCCTTCATGTTCTTGGTGCATTTCAGCGCTGAGCAAATTTGTTGTACTGTAATCATATCCGCCGGAGGCACGACACAAGGGGAGGTATCTAGGTTTTGAACGCATTGCGCAACCTGATCATCGAGCGGACTTTGGATAGTCGAGCCAAGCAAATGCGATGAAGCGACATGCTTGCCGATCGCATTTGCTTTCTCCTGTGGGGTGATTAAAAGCCGATCGTCATCATTTTCGACTTTGAGAGGTGGAACGGGTTTGGGATGATTTTTAAGGACCTTGGCTACCTTCCAGAATGGTCTGGAGCGGTCATCCAGATTCTGGACAACACGCCCGAAACTTTCATTTCGGAGTGAGTCCATTCTGAAAGCAATCTGCCTATTCAGATCGGCCATTTCACGTTTTTTGCCCAGATCTCCAGTCCTCTGAAACTGGCGTCTACGAACATTTCTCAACCGAATCAGTAATTGGGTGTGGGAATCAATAGCAACAAACTTACCCCTCACAGGAACTTGTCGAACGCATGTCTCGTCAGCCTCGGATATGGCCTGTTGGAGTCCTTCCAACGCCCGGTCGATGTCATCTACGGTGTCGAGTAGTGGATTTTCATCGATGTTGCTGTCCACCATTCGACCGTACTGCACCCAGTTGACATGGTGGTAGTCTTTACGCAGGCAGCCTCTAGCAGGAACCACGTTGACACCGACTTCAGTCACCACCGGTTGGTGGTCGGAGCTGAGATCGTTGTGCGCCTCCGGCTTGGATAGTCCGATGTTTGACAGGAAAAAGTCTAGCGTGGAGGGATTTCCCGCCGGAGAGATGAAAGTTGGCTCGTCCGGAAATTGCACTGTGTACAGTCCATGTTGTGCGTGGTCGAACAATAGACATCCGTTTCGATTCCTCTGGTAGTTCCGCCAAGCTTCATGGCGGGCGTTCAGGTCGC